GCTGAAGTTTTTGAGCATCCTTCTTTGTTATAACTGCTGTGGTCAAATAGTGAGGAATGTGTGGACGCACTGTCTGAATTGCATTAAGATACTGTGGTTGGTAAAGGAAGAGATTAATAATATTATTGTGACCTTTGGGGTGACTGAAGAAAACAGAGACCAGTGAAAGAGCCATGTTCTCTGCTGAAGAGACTGGAGTGGAGAACTCACAGAATTATTATCTATCTGTTGCTGGAACCTTCAATGCACTTGCAAGTGAAGCAAAATACAGCTAATCTGTAAATTAAGAATTCACCAGCACTCTAAAAAAATAAAGATATTCTGCTGCTCCTGAGTAATTCCCACATTCATATTGGAATTTTGCCTATCTGTAGAGCTAATCTAAATATTCCTGCCTAAAGCCAAGCTGGTCTGCCAGGTAGTCAAACAGTATCCTACCATCCCTGGTTGGCTGCATTTGCCTTGTAGTTTCTGGATCTTCAAATATCTTCACAATTGATTCTGCTTCTGCCTGAGAAATGCTTTAAGTTTACTATAGGGAAAGCTGGCCTCTGAAATCTTAATGCAGACTTGGGATGCAGCCGTGGAAGACCTTACATGGTTAAAAGAGACCAGCCTGGCTGACATGGTGAAACACTGTCTCTACGAAAAATACAAAAATTAGCTGGGTATAGTGGCAGGTGCCTACAATCCCAGCTATTCAGGAGGCTGAAGCAGGACAATTGCTTGAACCCGGGAGGCGGAGGGTGCAGTGAGCTGAGATTGCACCACTGAGTTCCAGCCTGGGAGACAGAGCAAGACTCTGTCTCAATAAAAATAAAAAAAAAAAAATAATAAAGCCTTAGTTGGAATAAGGCTGGGCATGGTGGCTTATACATGTAATCCCAGCACTTTGGGAGGCTGAGGTGGGAGAATAAAACTTGAGGCCAGGAGTGTGTTATTTCAACAAAAAATTTTTAAAAATTAGCTGGTAATGGTGGTGTGTGCCTGTAGTCCTAGTTACTCAGGAGGCTAAGGTGGGAGGATGGCTTGAGTCCAGGAGTTCAAGTTTACAGTGAGCTATGATTGTGCCACTGCACTCCAGCCTAGGCAAAATAATGAGACTCTAATATGGTTTGTCTGTGTCCCCACCCAAATCTCGAATTGTAGCTCCCATAATTCCCACATGTCACAGGAGGGACCCGGTGGGAGGTAATTGAATCATGAGGGTGGGTCTATTCTGTGTTGTTCTCCTGACAGCGAATAAGTCTCATCAAATCTGATGGTTTTACATAGGGAGCTCCCCTGCACATGCTCTCTCTTGCCTGCCACCATGTAAGGTGTGACTTTTTTTTTTTTTGAGATGGAGTCTCACTGTGTTGCCCAGGCTGGAGTGCAGTGGCACGATCTCAGCTCATTGCAACCTCTGTCTCCTGGGTTCAAGTGATTCTCCTGCCTCAGCCTCCAGAGTAGCTGGGACTATAGGTGCCTGTCATCAAGCCCAGCTAATTTTTGTATTTTTCAGTAGAGATGGGGTTTTGCCATGTTGGCCAGGCTGGTCTCAAACTCCTGCTCTCACGTGATCCTGTCCACCTTGGCCTCCCAAAGTGCTGGGATTACAGGTATGAGCCACCTTGCTTGGCCTTTTGCCTTCCACCATGATTGTGAGGCCTCCTCAGCCACATGGAACTGTGAGTCCATTAAACCTCCTTTTCCTTATAAATTACCGGGTCTCGGGTATGTCTTTATTAGCAGCATGAGAACAGATTAATACAGACCCTGTCTCTATTTAAAAACAAATCAGGTTATTTAGCATAATAAAAGGGGTGTTGAAATTTTTAAGCAGGTATGGCAAAAGAGATCCTATTACAAGTGCTCTTACCTTGGGTCTGATGAGCTTCAGAAATGGGGAAACATCTTTGAAATTATAAATTATGTCCCTTTTGCTTGGGAATGGATCAAAAGCTTTCCTCAGATTCTCAACAAGATATAAAAATTAAAAAATAAATCCCTGCTCAATTAAAAATGATGAAAAAGAGCTATTACTACTTAATTTCAATCTTTAATCCATATTTAGACAAGTTAGTGGCTAAATTTGTTTCTATTTTATCCTTTCGAAAACCCTAATACTACTTATCATCTGCATCTAAAAGAATTTACAATAATTTGGGTTCTCAGCTTTTCAGACTACAGGGACATAAATACAAAAGATAATGTCATTCTAAATCTTACAGATGGTAGTCTGACAAATGACATTATATTACGCGTTTGCTAAAATGTGTGGATTAATTGGAAAACTAGACAATTATGTTGTCATGAAGGGATTTCAGCACTGCTAGTTGTATCATTCACTGCAGTGATCCCCAACCTTTTTGGCACCAGGGACCAGTTTCCACGACTAGGGGTATGGGGATAGTTTCAGGATGAAACCGTTCCACCTCAGATCATCAGGCATTAATTAGATTCTCATTAGGAACATGTAACATAGATCCCTTGCACATGCAGTTCACAATAGAGTTTACGCTCCTGTGAGAATCTAATGCCACTGCTGATCTAATAGGAGGCAGAGCTAATGCTCGCTTGCCTGCAGCTCACTGTGTGAGCCCAGTTCCTAACAAGCCACAGACCGGTACAGGTCTGCAGCCTGGGGGCTGGGGACCCCTGATTAACTGCACACACAAAAGTTTTATACATTTAGTGGAATCACTGAAGTAAGAATTCAGGAAGCATAAGTTCTGGTACCAGTTTTATTTATAATTAACCACATACAAATCACTTTTCTACAAAATAATGGTTAACATCTATTCCTTAATTCACAGAAATATCACAAAACCAAAATCCTTCCCACGATATACTACTATTTAGTCTAAGCTTTAATTCAAAGGTTGAGAATGACGAATTGGAGAATGTCTTTCATACATAAATTGCTTTCCTTAATTCTACAGATGGGTAATCTGTTTGAGATTAGCACTGTCATGTTTCAACCTTAGAGAACAAAAAGCTATCAACAAGATAATGGTAAAGAAAATGCTAGCCAAAAAATAACACTATTGAGAAATAGGCGCATATTAAGTTCAATACTTATAACATCTCTGATGTCAAATGACCAAAATTTAGCCTTAGGGCACTAAAGCACATTTGCCCTTTTGAAGCACATAGTAGTACGGCACATTTTATTTCACTAAAAGTGATGTTAAACATGAATGTCTTGTAGACTATTTAAAGAGCCAGTCAATGGCTAAAAAAAACTATTGTTTTTTGTTATAACTCTTTTTGTGTCTCCCTCTTCCATTCTCATCTTAGGATATTTCACTCAAAAATTTAGTTACCCACCCCAAACACATTTCTCTCCCTTCTGCCAGGGTGTAACAAATATTAACATTCTGTCACTAGAAAGTAAACACTGAAGAGGAATTAGCGTGTTAATGAACAAAGATTAAGGAAGGTAATACTAACAGAATAAAGGAAAATGTAGACCATAAGCATCTGGTCATTTATCATGTACATGTATCATGTCAAGCATTATATATTAAATCTTCAAGAGGTAAGTACTTTTGTTTTAGTGTGTTTAACAATGTCAGTTTCGTGGGATGTAGTCTCTGTTCCTGGACTTTCTCTTACATTATGGTAACAGAAAAACAAAGACTGGAGCACGGTTTACAGAGAAATACAAAACACATACAAACATCATAATAAAATAGCCATTTATATCACTATTAGAGAAATATTTTAGAGAAAACATACTTTCACCAGTGGCCTCAAATGCCATCATCCACTTATGTTCTTTAACTATCAACTTTGTTTTTCTAAGAGATGGGATCTTGCTCTGTTGCCAAAGCTGGAGTGCAGAGATGTGATCATAGCTGCAGCCCCGAACTCCCAGACTCAAGTGATCCTACATTCAAGTGATCCTCCCAAACAGCTGGGACTACAGACTTGGACCACCATTCCCAGACAAATTTTTTATTTTTGTAGAGATGGGGTTTTGCTATGTTGCCCAGGCTGCTCTCAAACTCCTGGGCTGAAGCAATCCTGCCATCTCAGCCCCCTGAGTTGCTAGGATTACAGGCATGAGCCACTACACCCAGCAACTGTCAACTTGTAATACAAAAATACCTTCAAGCTGATAATCAAGAACATTTAGTGACTTTAAAAAGCTGACAGAGTATTTCCATGCTACACAAAACAGTTCTATACACAGCTTTATAGTTTTAAAGTTCTTTGCTGGCACTTGACTTTATAGTTAACACAATGACTACTGATATCAACGAAATTCTGTTTTTAGCTTATATATATTTTCAAAATCAGTATTACCTCACAAAACAGTAAAGAAATATCACTTCTGCTGAAGAATCCTCTAAGATGAACACCAAAACTGTGCAGCTAAAACATATTGAGAATCACATACATTTTTAAGGCAATAGATAAAAATTTATACAATCCAGTGAAATTTATACATGTCCAGCGAAAAAAGGATTATTCCTCTGATTAAATGAAGCATGTATCAGGTTTAGATCAACAATACAAATCTACAAAGCAAGTTACTTCTTTTTTAAAGTTTTTTGATGATTTGGTGACACAACCAGAATATAATTTTTTAGATGAAAATTGGTCGCTTTGCAAATCTGCATCCTAAATTCCAAAATTAAAACGAAACTTCTTTTCAAACAGCAGAATCCTGGTTTGTTGTTTTTACTGTCAATGAGCTTATAGCTATTCTCTGTATTATTATAAATGAAATCATCATTCAGTCACCCTAACACACATATACTTTTTTTTGACACGGAGTCTTGCTCTGTCACCCAGGCTGGAGTGCAGTGGCCCAATCTCGGTTCTCTCTAGCCTCTGACTCCCGGGTTCCAGCAATTCTCCTGCCTTGGCCTCCTGGGTAGCTGGGATTACAGGCACACGACACCAGGCCCAGCTAATTTTTGTATGTTTAGTAGAGATGGGGTTTCACCATGTTGGCCAGGCTGGTTTTGAACTCGTGACCTCAGGTGATCCACCTGCCTCGGCCTCCCAAAGTGCTGGGATTACAGACGTGAGCCACCACGCCCGGCCTGCATTTTTTTCTTCATAGAAGAAAACAAAAGTAAAACTTCCCAAATTATGTTTAACTTATAACACATTTTGCAAAGACCCCTTAGGTTAACCATTTTGGAAATCTACATTGTTCCGAAGAAAAAGATAAGCTTTCAAAACACTATCTAGCAATTCCTAATCATTTTTCTATCATAAACATTAAAATTCAAAAGTTACTGCCACAGTGCTTGTGGCAGTAAACAGAATGTAAAATTTATCAAAAGACTAAATTAGTGTCATGAAACATAAACATACTAAATAATCAAATAAATACTGGACCCTTAGCACAGAAAATTATTAAAAGGTTGATCTGAGTGTTAACATTTGTAATATTAAATTACCTTCGTATTTCAAATATTACTTTTTCTAAACCAAACCAGCAGCTAATCAACTTTTCCTTTCCTTTAGGAACAAAAAGGATATTTAAGATATTTTCCAAAACAGTAAAAACAACTTAGTGTTTCAATTCAGTTACAACAAACCCTGCTTATCCTGTGCATTTCACTGAGGCGCTACACGCACCCAAAAATCATCATCAGAAAGAGAACTTGAACTTCCTGACTCAGAGTCTGGCTCACTGAATCCACCTAAGTCCCATTCAGTGCTAGACTCACTTGGTATTTCTTCTTCTTCAGTGAGAAAACTCTGACCAGGTTCAAGGCAGGAAGGATAAACACGAGCAGAGAGGCAAAAAAAGTTAGAATCAAACTGCAAGAGGCCTAATGTGGTACCTATATTAATCCATTGGTCTCCCCTAATATCATATTCATACACAGTCACCCGGTTCTTTTTCCATTGTGGGGTGCGAGAGGTGATGAGCAACAATTTTTGGCCATGCTTGATAATCCGGTAGTTGTTGGTCTCTGAGACCAAGGGAATATTATTCATTTGCCTCCATTCTGCCCTAACTGGGTTGTAGACCTTCATGACTGGGATGTCACAGATACAGTAAATCTCCTCATTGAAGACGCACGCTTCCTGAAAGTCATTGCGCTTCAGAGAAACGCACTTCAACCACATATTATGGCTAGGATCATAACAGAACATGCGCTTACTGTTGAGAGCATAGAGATAGTCCCGAATTACCATTAGGTCAAAGGATAAAAAAGAATGGGGCAGTGGAGCCACCAATGCCCACTGGTTTCTCTTAACATTGTAGCATTCCACTTCCTTCAACTTAACTCCAGTAATAGGGTCTCGCCCCCCCAAAATGTAGATGTAGCCATTGAGATATGCCACATCCATGCCCTCACGACACAGCAAGCGATCTGCAAGTTGCTGCCAACTGTTCTGAGCTGGTTTATACACCCAGAGGTCTGTCCTGGGCTGGGCAGCTAGATAGATGTCATGGTCAGGAGAGATACAGACAGCTAAGGTGGTGACAGTCCTAGTGTGAGCCAGACAGGTCAAAGGTGACGGCACTTTGTAAAGGTCCCCCGAGTATGGATCACAGCAGAGAAAGGGATCTCTGGGGTGTCCAAAGAAGATCACCATCTCCTTGGCACACATACCCAGTCTCTGGGGTGGATTTTCTGCTGCAGATACAAGAGAGTTGCTGCTGCTACTGCTGCTGCTGCTGTTTGGCACTGGCACCAGAGACTTGTACAACAGGTCACCATAGCGCATCTGCAGGGCCCCTTCAATAACGTCCAGGCAGTACTTCTTCACGATGGGCTTGGTCAGCAGCCCTTCTAAGTAGTCCTGATCTTCTTCAGTGAAGTGCATCCAGCGCACGCACTTGAAGACTTCCGCAGCACTGGGACCCCGCTCTTTGGGAGCAGCCTCCAGCCACTGCACTGCCACGTGGCACACTGTCTGCTCACTCTCCACGTCCAGACTATCCAAGCGCAGGACAGCCAGCAGCTGGGCCAGGGTCAGATCTGCTAGAGTCTCCTCCCGAATTGAACCCATGTGGCTGAGCTGCTTGAAGTTCTGAGCTATATAGGACTGGGCCTGGGATCGCAGCTTGCGATGGCCAAAGGCGTCTGCAAACTTGAGGATGGCAGTGCAGTTGGTCAGGTCAAGACGTCGGGCTAAGAAGGAGGCACAGGCTTCCCGCACATACTCCAGTTGCAGCATGTCGGAGGCCGCGTACAGGCGCTCCACGTTGGCCTCGCTGAGAGACACACGACCCGTGTAGCAGTAGTCGACCAACACCTCGAAGGACTCGGCGTCCACATCGTGCATGGTCACGCTAGTCTGCTGGCTCTCGTACATGCCACCTGTGAACATGCTCTTGAAGTAGGGACACGCGGCGGCCAGCACATTGCGGTTGCAGGGGAAGAGGCGACCCGTGCCAGGCCCGCTGCCAGGCGTCACCACCTCGATGGTCACATCACACAGCTGCCGCGCATCGTAGAAGGACTTGAGCTGTGCCAGCAGGGCTGCAGAATGGGCCGTGTCCTTTAATTCCTCTGGACCCGTGAAAAAGGCCGAAACTGTGGGTTTGTGAATCTTCTTGGGCCGCTTCCCACCACGGGGACTGGCGAGGCGGCGAGAGCGCGGGGCGTCTTCCCGGGACTGCATGGTGGAGATGGCGACGGGCGCTGATGGCGAGAAAGGCTGCAGGACCCGGCTCTGGCTCCTCCTCAACCTTCCCTCGCTGACGCTAAGATAGCAGCGTCTCCCAAGAGACCGCAGCACGAGCCCATTTACTGAATTCCGCCCTACCCTGCGGAGCCGCCTCCCTTTATCGTTTAGACAGTAGCTGACTCACCCTCTCTCACTCCCGCGTCCTTTCTCCGCGTCTGCTCGCCTTCACAGGACCCGCTGGCTTGGAGCCGCAGAAGCCGCTACTGCCGCGTGGGCGACAATACTAGGGCCCAGGAGAACTACCGCTCCCAGGTTGCCTTTCGCGCCCCGAGGGCTGCTGGGCCTCTCGGACTCCCAGGCCGATACCGAGGGAAAGAATCCGCTTTGCATGTTGGGAGTAGTAGTTTGTGTAATATCGCGATCCTTCTGTGGTGTTCCTTGTTTTTTAACTGACGACACTCGAGAGCGCCAGTTTTCCTAGATTCGATTTTGTGGTTTGGAACTTTGGTTTTGGAATCCACAGTAGTCGCCTCGTTCTAGTATGTATTGTTCGACTTGTCTCTTTGAATTGTTTCTTCTTTTGTAAAATGTGAACAGTAGTATTTCATAAGATTGTGTGAAGATTAAATGAGTTGGTTATAGGACGCTGTTAATATTTGTTGGTTTGTAGAATAATTACTCAGTTCTTAGAATATAAAGGTTCGACAAGTTTTCTTCCAGCCTTTATATATATAGAAAAAAAATGAAGCATCACTAATTTGAAATTATGAGCCTGTAGGAAAACAAAAAACAGCCCCCGAAAACAGAAAACCTTGCAAATTGCAGCAGAGATCCCTTTTTAGGGGTGTGTGTGTGTGTGTGTGTGTGTAAATTAGATTTTATTTTTAGGTTTACAGACAAATTGAGCAGCAGGGACAGGGAACTTCCATATATCTCTCCCCACTTCACAGTTCCCTTATTATTATTAACACCTTGTATTAGTGTATGCATCCAGTAGAAGTGAATTTTTTTTATTTTTATTTTTTACTCACTATGCCTCTCCCTGATACCAAAAATTAACTCAGGGTTTGTAGGATTGGTTGGCTGTTGCTGGAATTAGATCCCTGGTTTTTTCACAATTGCCTGTCCTTACTTGCCATGACTAAAAGGAAACCACCTCCAATCACCTTACTTTGAGACTTTCCTTCCATATCTGCATTTCAAAATCTGAAGTCCTCTCTAGCCACTTTTCCCACTTGGTCTCTCCAATATTCAGTACCCCTTTCCCTTTTTTACATAAAAGAAGAGACATGCTTTAGGGGTCCTCACCCCAAAACACAAGGGAAGCCAGAGGCCTGGTTGGTAATTTAGCATCCTTTTAGACCCAGAGGCTCAAGCATTTCTCCCCTTGCTTGTATGAAGTTGCTGCTCCATCAGAACTGACTTTATTTTTAGTCATTCACTCAACCTTTACTTACCCATGTAGTTCAGACATTAGAAGTCACTGAGAACACCTAACACGTTTCCACTTTGGACTCACCTCCTGTGAAACCCTGCCACTGTCTTCCTCTCACATCACTGTCCACTGTAGTCAAAACAATCAGGCCACTTTTCTTCCCATTCCCTCTGAAGGACAACCTTGTGACTATATCACCGTCACACAGTCATTCACATTTCTTCACTGTGACATCACCAGAACTCCTCTCAGAGACCTTGATATCACCTTCTTTGTAGATGGTTCTTACTTCAGGAGTACAAATGGGGAATTTTAAGCAGGATACACTATTGCAGATTTTCAACAGCCTGTTAAGTTGAAATCTCCACCTAAGTTAACGTGGCCCAAATCATTGAATTCTTAAGCACTCACCCAAACTTGCATGTTAGCACAAGATAAGGGAACTAACATTTATACAGACAGCCAGTTTACTTTTGGAATTGTACATGATTTTGGTATGCTATGGAAAGAAAGAGGTTTATGACAACTGAGGAGTACCAATCAGAACCCAACTCGCTAACCTATTTACATCTTTTTTTTTTTTTTTTTTTTTTTTGAGATGGAGTCTCGCTCTTGTTGCCCAGGCTGGAGTGCAGTGGCTCGATCTTGGCTCACTGCAACCTCTGCCTCCCGGGTTCAAGCAATTCTCCTGCCTTAGCCTCCTGAGTAGCTGGGATTACGGGTGCCCACCAACATGCCCGGCTAATTTTTTTTTTTTTGTACTTCTGGTTGAGATGGGGTTTCGCCATGTTGGCCAGGCTGGTCTCAAACTCCTGACCTCAGGTAATCCACCCGCCTTGGCCTCCCAAAGTGCTGGGATTACAAGCGTGAGCCACCGCACCCGGCCCTCCTATTTAAGTCTTTACAGCTATCCAGAAATTAGCTGTTCTCAAAAATCAAAGCTCACACTAGTGGCTAGACTAACAAAGCTAAAGGAAACTTAACTGGCTGAAAATATGCTAAGGTTTCTGCTTCCCAAGAAGACATCCCCTGAATCACATGTATACTTCTCCTTGCTTAACCTACTCTAAAGGTAGAAACTCTTAAGAAACTTAAGATATAACAGCTGCTAGCACCTGAGGCTGAAAAAGCAACAAGCTGGATGTTTTATCTACTCAGATGGGCTTTGGAGACACCTAGACAACTGTTTGATTTCTTTCGGTCCCTCACCTAAAATTTATTCTGCAGCCTCCATGAGGTTACACATTATGGCAAAGAAAATCTGAAGGATCTCCACAAATATTGTTCGAGATGCCCTAATATTGAGCCGTTAACTTGAACTTGCCCCATCTGCCAGAAACACAATCCTAGTCAACATGTAAAGTGGGACAAGGATGAGAGTCAACTCTCTCTAGTCCTTGTTTTCATTGGAAAATATATAAACTCGCAAAGTCTCATGGGTACAAAAATGTCCTAACCATAGTTGGCATGTTTTCAGCATGGTTAAAAGCTTTTCTCTGTAAACAAGCTACCATCACCACTGAAGTTAAGCTGAGACCAGAAAGAATTTTCCCCTCTTAGGAATCTCTTTGTTTTTTTAATAACAGTGGAGGAACTCACTTCAGTAGTAAGGTTATTCAGGATCTTCAACAAGTACTTCCAATGTTACAAAAACTGCAGTCTTCTTACCAGTCCTCTGGAAAAATGAAACAAGCAGGCCAATGGTACTCTTATATTCAAACTAGCCAAACTCCTTAAGGAACTCAACCTGCCCAGAGTCTCATGCCTTATGGCCCTTGACTCTTCTATTATCCCCAATTTCTCGGCATGTACTGAATGAAACTTAATTCCAAACATGATTAATGAGTCTCTTGAAATCTCCAAACTGAATGACTCCACTTTCTCAGGATCAAGTGTAGGAAAAAATGTAGGAGTACTTTTATCTCTAATGTTAACCATTTTCTCTTCCACCACTTCCCAACCAGCCTTACAAACTGCATTCAGTTCCACACAAAGACTCTGCTCTCCTGAGGGATCCACCCAGTTGTTAATCCCAGTAATTGCTAATAATTACTATACCTCAGACCCCACCTGTTTCCCCATAGGATGCCACTTTTCATGCCTTCCCCAAGGGCATTTGGACTGATTGTCTGGGACTTCAAAATATTTAAAGCGGCTATCCCACCTGTCAACGGTGTGTCCCTCTGGAATTACCTCCAAATTGAGGCAACTACAGGGAATTGGGGAAAACCTCCTAGGGATATCAATGATTCTCTTTTCATATGCACCATGAGAGCCCCTAACACCCACTATGGCATTAATACAGTTAAAAAGGGTAGTTCAAAAAAAAAAAAAGAAAAGAAAAGGTAGTTCAAGCCTCTCCTTAACCTTTATAGAAGAAGAAAATTTTACCGCTTTGGCCCTAGAAGCACAGAAAGTAAGTTTAAACGCACAGGCCCAAATTGTTAGGCGAATCCTATAACTTTCAACTTCCTTCTAACTAGACAGGGAGGTATTGGTGCCATAGCCAAAATCTCTTGTTGCAGTTGAATAAACACAACAGGACAAGTGAATGCTTAGTTACTAAACTCAAGGAAAAGGCTAGTTGGCTTTCTAAGGTAGATTCAAATAGCCTGAGACATGTTCTACTGAGCAAGATTTGGAAATAGAAGATCCTGGTTTTGAGCTGTATTACAAACATTACTAATTGACATAGTTTGGATATTTGTCCTTGCCCAAATCTCATGTTGAAGCGTGAGCCCCAGTGTTGGAGGTGGGGCCTGGTGGGAGGTGTTTGGATCATGGGGGTGGATCCCTCATGAATGACTTGTGCTGTCTGTCCCCGTAGTGTTAAGTGAGCTCTCGCTTTGAATCCCCATAAGATCTGATTGTTTAAAAATATGTGGTACCTCCCCCACCCATTCTCTCTCTCTCTCTCTCTCTCCCTCTCTCACTTGCTTCTGCTTTCACCATGTAACATGCCTGCTTCCCCTTCGTCTTCCACCACGATTGTAAGCTTCCTGAGGCTTCCCTAGAAACTGAGCAGGTACCAGTACCATGCTTCCTGTAAAGCCTGAAGAACCGTGAACCAATTAAACCTCTTTTCTTTATATATTACCCAGTCTTTGGTATTTCTTTATAGCAATGAAAGACTGGCCTAATACACTAATAATTTTCCTGTTTGTAGTCTTATACCTTGCAGTTGGGCAGTACATCATGCCTAGTCTTAAATGCTACTACACAGTCATTTGTCCTCACAAATTATTATTCAACAGTGTATCATGATCTGGTAGACGAAAGGGTAACTCTGCTTCCAACTGACTTCCCAGACAGAATTTCAATCTGAACTGACAATTTTACCCATGGAGATCAAGATCTTGGAGTTAAGAAATTCCACAACGTTTTGTTTTCCTAAATCTCCTTACTCTTTTGTGCTCTGGGAAGTGGCTTACACAATGAACCATCCTTCCCATATGACGTAGATTACTTTCTGTCTACTTTTTCTCATACCTACTGTAAGACTCACTCACCGATGACCTCCCTACCTTGTTTACCTGTGACAAGGCCAAACACAGCCTTTTCATTTTTGCCTGAACCTGCTGGCAAGACCAGACAAGAGTCTCCCACTTCCTGTCATTTATCTTGTGAATCATTAGCTGAAATTAGAGCTATTAGTCTGCCACATGCCCCCCTCAATCCCAAACTAGCTAGACAGAGAGATAAACATTTTCTGTGCAGATGACGGAGATGTCCCTATTTACAAAAACAATCCCAACTAAAAATCATTCCATTTAAAACAAGTCTACTCCTCCCTATAAACTATAAGGTAAAAGCATCTTGCCAAGC